CAGGGCAATAAATGTGAAATTCGCCAGTAAAAATCAAACTACACCAAAAGAAATACTACTCATTTAATTTGATGGCATCAGCATTCAGATGGTCCCCACATTGACCATGTGTTCAAAAGGAAGAGGTTTCACACCAGCTGTTTGCATTGTAGCTGCGATGCAATTTGACTGTGTGGTTCAGACTCTTTAGAAAATCTTCCCCCACAGCTTGCTTGCAGATAAACGGATGTCCCTTGCTTGCGAGAAAGCCTGCCAGGGAATTTCCTTCAAGAGCATCCAAAGAATTTCATTTCTTCTGCAGCACACACTTATGATTACAGATTACAGTCTTTCATGTTTCTCTTGAGCTATAAAGGAATTTTTCGACAGCAAATAAACTCCAGACTTTGAAAGCGTGTGGAAAAATCCAGACTTGTTTCTTGCTGAAACACACATGTATCAAAATGTCAAAGGCAGAGTTCATCAACAGTCAAATCATTAACCAAAGCTAAGAACCTTCAACCACTTCCAAGTGACTGCTTTTGATATGCAAACTCACCACATTAGAAAACAGATTTAGCACACATGGCTATAAACAAAACCTCAGTGATACAACCATTAAACAAGGAAGGCAACTGCAACGCATGGAAAACACAATAGACCAAATGTTTGGAAAATAAGAATTTCTTTAAAATGAGTGTGCTTAAAACGCTGCCATTCAGGAATAATGAGTAGATTTGGATAAGGAAGCAACACAGCTTGTGCATTCTACACGATTCAGTGACTCAACAACAACAGACTGCACAACAGCATAACTTTGTCCAATCCTATAAACTGAACAACAGGTTTCTGCAGGGACTTTACCAATGGAACACAAAACAATACATCTCGCATTAACTGAAGTGACTTAAGCAGTCAAGTCAAACCAGCGATCCTCTTGCTGTGAGGGAACAGTGCTAATCACTGAGCCAAGATTTATATATTCTAAATATAATATTCCCTGACTTTAGGGGGAACCCCATAAATAATTCAAAAACAAAGTGTATGTGAGCTGTGTGAACTATAAAAATAAACATTTTGAGCATTTGAGTTTTTTCTCTTTCTTTCTTTCTTTCTTTCTTTCTTTCTTTCTTTCTTTTTTACTTTTCTTTTTTCTACTTTCTTTCTTTACTTTTGTTTCTTTCTTTAAAACTTCTTTATTTCTTTCTTTCCTTAGTTCTTTCGATCTTGACTTTTCCTTTTCACTTCTTTGTTTCTTTTTGTATGTTTCTTTCTTTTTCCACATTCTTTAGTTCTTTCTTCATTTCTTTCATTGTTTCTTTTTCTTAGTTTCCTTCTTTTTTTTCACTTTCTTTAGTTATTTCTTCCTTTGTCTTTCATGTTTTCTTTCATTATCCTGTCTGTCTTGCTGTTTCTTTCTTTCTTTCTTTCTTTCTTTCTTTCTTTCTGTCTTTCTTTCTTTCTTTATTCTTTCATTTTTTTCTTTCTTTTTTCTGTTTTCTTTCTTTATTTTACTTTTTTCTTTCTTTATTTTACTTTCTTTTTTTACTTCCTTATTTTTACTTCTATTTTTCCTACTTCATTAGGGGCCAAGCACCGAAGGTGAAGCCTGACGAGGCCCTGGTGAAGCCCTATTGTTCTTGTAGTTTTTCTTTTTTATTATTATTCTTCTGTTTCTTCCCAAAATGGAAGTCAATGGAAGCCATATAAAGAGTAAGTAGGAAAATGATGAAATTTGGAACAATTGTAGTGGTGGTTAATAGAAGATAACTGACCAAATTTGGAGTCTCTATAGTACCACCAGCAGACCAAACATTCAACATTTAAACTGTTACAACTTTTTCTTCCTTAATTTCTTTCATCGTTTCTTTTTGTTTGTTTGTTTCTTTCTTTTTCACCTTCTTCAGTTCTTTCTTTCTTTGTCTTCCTTCATTATCCATCTGTCTGTCTTTGTTTCTTTCTTTCTGTTTTATTTTCTTCCTTTATTCTTTCATTTTTTCTTTGTTTCTTTTTTTTACTTTATTTCACTTTTTTCTTTTTTTTAACTTACTTATTTTTACTTATATCTTTCTTTCTTTATTAGGGGCCAAGCACAGAAGGTGCCAAAGCCCCCTATTGTTCTTGTAGGTTTTCTTTATTATTATTATTATCAAAAATGATGAAAATGATGAAATTTGGAACAATTGTAGTGGTGATTAATAGAAGATAACTGACCAAATTTGTAGTCTTTATAACTAACTCTATAGTGCCACCAGCAGACCAAACTTTCAACATTTAAACGGTTATAACTTTTTAGCCGTTTGAGCTAAAAAAAATAAAACTAGGCACAAAAGATTTCACCGATCATGCAGATTCAAACCAATGCCATACATTAAAATCTCCACCCATTACAGCAGTGACCATTTTGAAAGAACATTAATAAATTTGAATGCTACTCGTCCTTCAAAACTGAACCAATTATTCAGAGATTTGGCTCAGATAATCTACGCTTCATCAGGCTCCAACCTGCATTTGAAGCTCATCAGGCTCCGCCCTGCCTTTGAAGCTCATCAGGCTCCGCCCTGCGTTTGAAGCTCAACAGGCTCCACCCTGCGTTTGTAGCTCATCAGGCTCTGCACTACGTTTGAAGCTCATTAGGCTCCAAATGTGTTTGAAGCTCATCAGATTCTGCACTTCATGTGAAGCTGGGCTCACACTGCATTTTTAAACTCATCAGGTTCCGCACTGCATTTCAAGCTCATCAGGTTCCACCCTGGATTTGAAGCGCATCAAGCTTCGCACTTCATTTGAAGCACATCAGGCTTCACACTGTGTTTGAAGCTTATCAGGCTCTACACTGTGTTTGAAGCTTATCAGGCTCTACACTGCATTTGAAGCTCATCAGTCTCTGTACTGCATTTGAAGCATATTGGGCTCCACACTGTATTTGAAGCTCATCAGGCTCTGCACTACATTTGAAGCTCATCAGACTCCGCACTGCATTTGAAGCTCATCAGTCTCTGCACTGCATTTGAAGCTTATCAGTCTCTGCACTGCATTTGAAGCTCATCAGTCTCTGCACTGCATTTGAAGCATATTGGGCTCCACACTGCATTGAAGCTCATCAGTCTCTGCACTGCATTTGAAGCTCATCAGGCTCTGCACTGCATTTGAAGCTCATCAGTCTCTGTACTGCATTTAAAGCTCATCAGGCTCTGCACTGCATTTGAAGCATATTGGGCTCCATACTGCATTTGAAGCTCATCAGTCTCTGCACTGCATTTGAAGCTCATCAGTCTCTGCACTGCATTTGAAGCTCATCAGGCTCTGTACTGCATTTGAAGCTCATCAGTCTCTGCACTGCATTTGAAGCTCATCAGGCTCTGCACTGCATTTGAAGCTCATCAGGCTCTGTACTGCATTTGAAGCTCATCAGGCTCTGCACTGCATTTGAAGCTCATCAGGCTCTGCACTGCATTTGAAGCTCATCAGGCTCTGCACTGCATTTGAAGCTCATCAGGCTCTGCACTGCATTTAATGCTCATCAGGCTCTCCAGTGCATTTGAAGCTTAATAGGTTCTGCATTTTGTTTGAAGCTCATTTTAATTTTTACTTTCATAAATTAATTTTACAATTCAATAACAATAATTTAAAAATACATTTTAAATTGTAAGAATTATGCAATGTTTAAAAAAATCTTTAAAAAATCCAAAACAAGCAAAAAGATCTGCATTAAGGGCTTGGCCCCGTAATCACTGCAAGCAGCTAAATGTTCTTTCATTTTCACTCTGTCTGTCTGTCTGTCTTTCTTTCTGTCTGTCTCTCTTTTTTCTTTATTTCTGTCTGTCTCTCTTTTTTCTTTATTTCTGTGTCTTTCCATTTCTTTCTTTTTTACTTGGTTTCTTTCTTTTACATTCTTTTTTATTTCCTTCATTCCCTTTAGTTCTTTCTTTCTGTCTTTGTTTCCTTATTTCCTTCATTTTTGTCTTTGTTTCTTTCTTTTTTTTAATTCTTTCTTTAGTTCTTCCTTTATTCCTTTTTCTTTAATTTTCTTTCTGTCTGTCTTTGTTTCTTTATTTCTACTTCTTTCTTTTTTCTTTCTCTTTTTACATTTCTTTCTCTTTACTTTTTCTTTCTGTCCTTCTGTCTGTTTCTTTATTCTTTCTTTTTTACTTAGTTTCTTTAATATAATTTTTATCTTTTACATTTTTTACTTCCTTTTTTACTTCTTACTTTCATTTTCTTTCTGTTTATTTCTTTCTATTTCTTTTTCTCTCTCTTTTCACTTTTCTTTTTCCTTGCTTCTTTCTTTCTTTTGTACTTTCGTTTCTTTCTTTTACATTATTTTACTTCCTTTTTACCTCTTTCTTTTTTTACTTGTTTCTTTCTTTTATACTTTCTTTTTACTGCCTTCTTTTTTCTTTGTCTTTTTACTTTCTTCTTTCTTTCATTTAATTTTCTTTATTTTCTGTTTTCTTTCTTATTCCTTTCTTTTTTCTTTCTTATACATCTTTATTTCTTGCTATATTATAAGTATATTCTCAAAATTGCAATGTGTGTATCCAAAATAGTCACATCACAGAATTAGATTAATAATTAAATATTTTATTATTTTTTTATTTATACAATGACAACCATCTTTTACATTCGGTTGTTCAATTTCTGTAGTTGAAAACAATAAAGCACTGTTTATTTATTTATTTTTGGTTGTAACTTATTCTATTTTATGCAGATGCACTGCATAGAAAAGACTTGATCATAATTGATCTAAATTAATGAAATCTTCCCAAATAGACCTGTTCAAATCATCTGGTGAAATTATATTCATATCATACTGCAATGTCAGATTTTTCCAATATCGAGCAGCCTGATTGTACAGGGTTAGAAATAAAGAATCTGTGTATATAGCATGCAAATACTTTTCTGATGACCCAGTCACATCACATGAACTGTGCACACACAGATGACCCATGATCCATAACCAGGGGTGTAGGGAGTTATCCCTTTAGTAAGCATCCAGTAACATCAACTATGAGTCTCACCTCACAGTGTGGAAGCCCGCCAGAATAAATCAGCTCATCCTCATCGCCTGAGTTCCTCCAATGTGATGCCATCATTTCACCACTGAAGCCCACATCTAGAGAAACCTCCTCATGTCAGCTCAGAGATCACACTTCAACATCCACCAAGACTTGACTTTCCACATGTTTGGGTAAAAGACCCTAGGAGAGCACATAACAAACATAACTTTACTGATTCTACTAGACATATTTTGTTACACTTTTAAAAACACCTTAAGAAAAAGTTAACAAACAGGGTTTCTGTAAGTTTTATGAGAGTCAATAACACTTTTCAGAGCAAAGTTAGGAGGAGGACAGAGTGAAAGAGAGAATTTTGAGTTTATTGCCATATCAGCTTCTATGGCTGTATCATGGCAAAAAAAAAAAAAATTCAAGTTTACGACATTTTATAAATAACACTTTTCTATAATTATTACAATATTCTAACAATTAAAGTCATCAACAGCAATAAATAAACAAAATAAAATACATAAATAATAATAATAATAATAATATATAATAGGGCTGTTTGACTATTCACAATCTAATGGCATTGTTTAATTTGAAACATTGCGGTTAGATAATCGCAAGAGGCTGCGATATAAAATATGTATTTAATTTCGTCCAACCAGGGAAAATACGTGCATGGCCTCTGTGTGTGACATTCTTACTAGCCAATTGAGTGTACACACTTTCGTTCTGCCCAATCAGAATTGAGCAACACACAGAAAAAAGTGCGGACGAATGGGATGCTGGCGTCTGTCACTTCAGAAGAATTAACAGACAAATTAGTATTAAAGAAAAACAGGACAGCAGTAATATGGGAAATTTTGGTTTCAAAGTCACAAAAAATTCAAGTCTTATGTTTTGATAACTTCATGTGTCTTTCATGTGCATTTATGGCTCGCGATGCAAGTATGCGCGTTGTCTGTAGTAACTGACTGCAGGGCTCGAAATTAACCTTTTTGCTTGGTAGCACAGGTGCTCCTGACTTTAAAAATTTAGGCGCATCAGCCAAAATTTAGTCGCACCCACCAATATGAGCACCGTTACTACAAGTTTTATACAAACATATTTATTGTATTTGAAATCAACACTAATCAAACTAACAAGCAAAAAAATAATACATATATTAATACATATATGCAAGCGTGCGGAAAATATGTCTTAACAAAATCCCGTTATCACAAGAAAATAAATTTTTATAACAGAACCGAGTGACCAAAGCATACACGGAGCGCTCACCGGCCCTGCACGCACTGCTTGAATGAATCTGTTACGATCTGAACAGTATAACGTTAACTGTGCTTTTCTCACAAGTGCTGTCTGATATTGCACTGATGCTTTTGACACATACTGTACCCTATTATATGCATACATCATGTTAAAAGCAATACCGTTTTTTTATGAGTAGCGTTAAGGTGATGTACTATATAAATATAATTTGTCATTTACATACAACAGTTATATATAAATGCATTGGATGCAGAATTTTAAAGCAGTTTAACGATTTAAATGGTTCTTTTTGGATATTACGTCATTCAATGCGACTATACGCATGACTTTATGGAGAGCTTACGAGATACTAACTACAGTTTGCTTTAAGAACATGTTAACAAATTTTGTTACAAACTAGCTATAGTAGTCACAAAGCCCCTAGTGTGGACTTCACTGTCCAGTTTAAGAAAGGACTTACAGACAGCTGGTGCAACGCATGCCATAACTCGCTACCTCGCTAAAGACAGGCTGCCTTTTAATGTAGTCACCAAAGAAGGATTTTAAAAAAAAAATGTTATCTAAATGCAGAATAGGAGATATACACTTTCGTTCTGCACCTATTTTAGCCATTTTGAAGTACCATAGACGTATGTTTAATGTCATGACATTTTGTGTAGCATCTGTAATAATTATTTTGTTTTAGACAATATAAGATACAGATAGGCTCTTATCAGTCATGTTAGTTTGCTGAGTTTTCTGTATTCTTATAATTATTATTTTTTTGTTTGTTTAATAAACTGCTACACTATCTCCCGAATTTGAGTTAAGCTTTTTTTACAGAAAGGTAAGGTCATAATTTTGTGCCTACTGTTTGCTCTAAATAAAAATTTGTGTTTCATTTCGGAATATTTAAAAATAATTTTAAATAAATGTTTAAGTAAATTAATATCTTTTCAATTTTTTTTCAAACTAACACTCAATGCATTTTTGTAGTGAAAAGCTACGATGCAGATTATTAAGCTGAAGATTGACTACCAAATTAGATCGCAAATCAAATCAAAATCCCAATGTTTTTAAAAAAAAATAATAATAATTTAAAAAAAACGTGATTAGATATTTTCCCCCAAATCACACAGCCCTAATATATAAGATACAAATCTAAAACCATTTTTAAGGTTTACCTTTGATAAAAATATATTCACATTTAAAATTATTTTATTTAAAGTCTCTCCAAATAAAAATAAGGTATTTGACAAAAATTTGTTTAACAGTTTGGTTTCTGTTGCAATATTGACAATTAGGGGGTTTGTCTCCTTTGAGTAAGTGTTCATGTGTGAGTCTGACACAACATCTTCTGTAAACAATGTCATCATGTCTTGAGTTAAAAAAAAAAAGATTTTCTTCCTATTTCAGGCTCGATTTCAAAATTGTTTATTGTCTGAGGACTGATGCCATTTATTAAGGAGAACAGACTATTGTCAGTGTCTTCATGTCTAGGTAGAAAGTGAAATGTAAATGTATAGGGAGAAAGACGGTAAGTTACATTAGCAACACTTTTTTAAAGCATTTAGCAAATGAAGTAGCTTAAATATCAATGCTCTGAATCAACAAAATATTATATATTATACAATATGAGCAATTCCATCATATGGATGTGACATTTGCAGTAAAAACTCAAAACATAAATTCACATAGGAATATACGTTAACACTATATTGAAACATCTGCTTATATTTTCCAGAACAACTACCCACAGAGTTAAGGGATCAAAAATATCTGTATACATGTTTAGTATTTTAAATGAGGAAAATAAGAAAGCATTATGGATGCGATCAAAAAAGTATGCCAGTTTGCCGTATACAACATGCTTTGTAGAAATTCTGTGAATTAAACAGCAAAAACCCCCAAAAAACAATGCTAATCAAAAGGAGAAGAGCTGACTCTCTACAAAGATGATTGATTTTATTTTATATGTTTGTATTTATGAGAAAAAAAGTTTCGTTATGCATGTGACAGTTGTGAATTTTTCACTTATGTGGTAAATTAAATACAATTATTTAAAAACAATAACAGAGACATTTTTGAATATTTCTAAAGTACTATAAAATACTTACGCATAAACGTAGAAACGGTTTCAGTATTTTGGTGAAAACCTTTTTTTTTCATGGCAAGGTTGATATTTGCATAGAATTGCTCATATAACTTTCGATTAATACTTCAGTTTATGATTACCAGCATTCTCCGAAAAAAAATAAATAAAAGACTTAATTCAAAGATCATTTTCATGATTCAATGAAAGATTCATTTTTTTAATGGCGAAAAGCTATGGTAAAACCATAAAGATTTGTAAATCTATTTTAGCTAAAACATTTCAAGTATATACAGTGCTCAGCATAATAGAGTACACCCTATTTTGAAAATGAATACTTTATCCATTTCTCAGTGAATATAGGCAATGTATTTTGGTGCATTTAAACAGAACAGATTTATTTAATTTATATTTGTTAAAATAATATTTTAGTCACCAAACATATTTAGAAACTGAAAGATAATACAATTAAATTCAAGTAAAATATTGCAATAAACAAATTACAATCTTTTCAATTTTATTTTTGCTTCTCTTAATTTTTCCTCTTTTTTAAACTTGTATTTAATATTTTTCTATAACATATACATTTGGGTGTACTAATTTTAGGACAGTTATCGTAACTTATTTTGCTAGATAAGCTCCAGATTTGGCTTTAGTACTAACTAATCCAATGCAATGTATGTATGTAAAATACATACTTTGAAAATGTGAATTTAAAGATAGATTTGTAGATAGATTTCTGAGCATGGTATACATCTGTAACATTTTTATTATTGTTTCAAAAATCAATACCTATTTTTTCTCTTTTTTAAAATACATTGTCAAGGTTTAATTTTACATTTTCATGTCATATTAAATTTTATTTATTAAGTTCAAAGACTTTTTTTCTCAATGAACTTAATATGCTTAATAATTTAGGGTTTTCAGCTTCGATATACTGAAGAATAATTAAAAAAAAAAGCTTCCAAAAGCCGCAAAAGTCTTGTATGTCATGATCATAACAATAATATTTATCGGCTTTTAGGATGTTTACATTTGTGATCGCGTTTTGTTTTCACTGGCTTTTTTAAAACATCAACTTCTACACTTTAAAACGAGAATAGTATTTCTAAACAACTTCACCATGTTTCGTTGCACATTCAGCAAACATTATTCCTCTAGTTTTGGTTACTTTATTGACAGGTGTTTTAAAGCAACCCATAACCAATAGACTTCGACCAACATAAACGCCCTAAAATCGCTTATTCCAGCAAAACGCGAGTCCTTCTGCCACATGGTTTCATGTGCCTCCAGTTTTCTTCATTAAAAGCTCGAACTGGAAGATATCAAACACACGAACTAATTAAACATGTTTAATCTTGTTAAAATAAAATGATAACCCAGGATATACAGCCTAATCGGATTGTGCGGAGAGGTTTGATCTGGTGTGGTCAGACTCAACTGGTGTGTATGTGTGTGAGTGGCTAACAGCGCTGGAAACTTTCTGCCGTGAATTGATGTCGTGTCCTAAAACACAACAGACTGGGTTTATAAACACTTTAAAAGTGCTAAGCTGCATTTTAATGAGTGAACTCATAAAGTCAGCACCGTGTTGAATGAAGTTTGAGCGCTTTGAGCAACATGGAAAACCTTGGGCTGTGATTA